TCCTTCTGTTCTGTTTATTATGAGGTTTTATGCACCTTTGAACCTTCAAAGTACTGCACATGCTAAGCGCTGTTATTCCAAAACTCAAAGAGAGGCTCTATGAAAAGCTACCAGAAACTTATATTTTGTTTGATTTTGATTTAGATACTAGAAATACGGATTACTTCAGTTCTCACTCCTTTGCAGGCTGTACTGCCTGTGCTCCTATCTTATTCCTTGAGGCTGAATTTTGTTCCCCTCAGACAGGTCAATTACGTGGGCTTAAAGAACTGGTGGAAACACCAGCACTGGGAAGCTGCTGAAATGTCAGGAGAAACCCTCAAAGGCTTTTCTTTTAGGTGAGAGTTGCCAGAGTAATATAACAAATACACTTCCCAGTAACAGATATTGATGTTTTCTCTCATTCATGAAGGCTGTAACACAGACTGACATCTTACTGTTGCAGAAACACTACCCAACCAACACCTTTCCAACACCCTCTGTACTACATACCATGGCAGATCAAACGCAAACTCTCATCTTACAAGAAGATTATTCTGTAAAGTGAGTAGTGTGCCATTCCTGATTCTGAAATAATTGATAAAAAACTGGTAAGACCTCTCAGAAATGCCGCTATGTCTCTCCATTACTCTCCACACCCTCGCAGTGGGTTGTCACTGCCCCATACCCAGAAGAGGAATTCTGGAGGCACAGCTCACAACTCCAGCCAGGCACCATGCTGAAAGAGGTGACCAGGCAGTTCAGACCTGGCCCTGAAGGTTCAGTCATCTTTTAAAGAAACTCTGTAGTTCATCAGCCTTCCTCAGAAATCATGCAGGGGATTGTTATGACTTTAATATCTGCTGCTGACAATATCACAGACATACTCTTCCTTTTCTGGTTTTGTCCAAATCTTAGGTCACAGTGAAGACTGGCAGAAAAAATGGTTAAAAAGGAAACATGAAGAAGAAAGCATAAGCAAGTAAAGGTATTTTAGATTTAGAATTTTTTTCCTTTCTATGTTTTAGTTCTTCCCTTTTCTCTTACTCTGGTAGTCACCAAATGTTGGTAACACCCAGCTAAACTGCTCCTAAGATGAAAAAAAAACACCAAATCAACAGCCCTACCAAACCCTCCCAGATACATCAAGTAATTCGCGAGATAAATTAATTGATATAATCCAAGAAGACTCTCATATTCTCACCTTAGAAAAATAGGAATAATAAAATGGACTAATAATATAAGTTTTACCTCTGAGTTCATCCTGTTATGAGAGCAGAAAATCCTAGAAGCAGAACATGAAGCTGCAGTCCCCCTGAAAGTTGAACCAACGAATCTTTTGCAAAGTGAGTTGACCAAAATCATTAGCATCAAATCCAAAAAAAGCCTCTGCCGTCTACTGCACTGCCATCCTCCTGCTGCAGGCAATACCTGTTCCCCACAGAGAATCCCTGTGGCTGTGTTCTTTTTTTCAGTGCATGGAGCCAGTTCTACTCCTTTTGGTTTTGACAGGAACCCTGGAAATAAAACCTCCTCTTGCACGTCCTTTCCAAAGATGAGATAGGAGTAAGACATATTTTTGGATTTTAACATATTAAGTCCGTAACTATTACACCACAATCCTGCTAGTAACTGAGATGGCTCTTTGTGGAAAAATCCAGCTTCTCCAACACACAGTGATGAAGTCAGTTATAAATACTGAATTATTCACAGTTCATTCATCCATCTAAAATAAATTTCAACTCAGTTTTATAATTCTCACTGCTCACTAACATACACCTAGAATTGGGAAGCTGTCACTAAAGAAATATATCCTAACTATGACTGGAGATGTATATATACATATATAAGTATATGTATACATACACACACAGAAATAAAGTTGAATGCAATAAGCCAAAACTTAAAAAATATGAGCTCAGTGGATAGTCTCTAAGTGGGCTAACCCTTAGAAGTGTTAGAAAAAAACCTGAATGTGAAAAGGCTCTTGTCAAATCTGCATTTAATAATCTATATGTAAAACTGGTCTGTCACTGTATCTTCATTTTCCTCTTACCAAACACTTCATATCAGAAAAAGCAGGATCACACATAATACCCTTCCTGTCAGTGCTGTTTCTTAATTAGTCAACATCAGGTGAAGCTTATGATAAAACTAATTGAGTTGGGGCCTTCAGTCTCTAAGAGAGACATCAACACACAGGATATTCTCACAAGCTATGGGTTTCATATACTGTGAATGGAAAAAGGGACGCTGAAGCATTCTGCAGAGAAGGACTATACAGGAATTTGGTCTTCGCTTTGACTATAAATGCTACTTAGTCTATAGTGCAAGCTTCCTTTTTTTAAAAATGTTTATCAGAAATTGGTAATATATCTAAATATATGTAAATTTTAACTAACATTGCCATTATGTGGCACTTTTTTAGTGATGACAGTTGGCATATGAAACAGAAAACTTTTTTCTCCCATCCTCCCCTGAATAGCCAAGGGAAAGCCATATATGATATGCAATATGCAACTTTTGCATTTAGGTGCAACAGATACACAACTGTGACAAAGAGTAAAAAAAATCCACGAACAAGACAGTAATAGAAAGTGATTGGTTAAAATTATTTTTCTACAAATGACAGTGTTTAAAATCTTCTGCACGCAGTATTTCTTCATCTTGATCCTCAGGGAGAAGAGAGACTTCTCTCTGATGCTTTGTCTTCTTATTTCCAAATGCATTAGTTGCTAAGCTGAAAGCAGGCAATTACTAAGACAAAAATGTATTGTCAATGTTTTCAACACATTAATATGAAATAATCAAACCTGTATTACAGCACTGATGTTTTGAAATCACTACCTTTAAATTTGCATTAGATTACCAAATGTTACTACTTTTCAACTTGACAAAAGTGTAAGTTGAAAATAATTTTGGAAATGTACCAAAACTAAAGGCTTCTACTGAGCTTTCTAACGTGTCCCATCTTTGTCACTTAATGGGGCCACTTCATTCTCCACATGAAGAGTAAGCAGTACCTTCCAAAAACACTCGTTTCCTTACATTGTGCAAGGTAAAGTGACAGATTGAGACACTCTCCCAAGAAATTTTTAAGTGAAGTACATTAACAACAACATTCACAGAACAAAATTCAGAAGTACTTAACACGTTGCCAATAACTACAGACATATATGAAATAATGTATATCAAGTATATCAAGTCCAAAAATCTTGCCATTTGTGGCAATGAAGAATAAGCAATCTTACAAAAGTTAAACACATGCATTATGTTTTCCTTATACATAATCTGTTATTTATATCCATGAGACTGATCACAACCTAAGTAATCTGCGTTGCTCTAAAGATAGAGAAAGAAAGCGATTCAGATTCCCACTGGCATCACCGAAATATCTTACTAAGCCTAAGGATGTTTTAAGGGTTGGATTCACTTCTATTCAAAGTTTGGATCTAGGCATCTCTTCTTATTTTGCCTTGTACTTTCCACTCCTTTCCGTTACCCAAATGACATCATTCATTTAACTTGAACCGTTACTAGAATAATACATAAACACAGCATCTGCCAGAATTTGTTCATATAGGGTCTCTCCCTGTGCAGAATTACCCATCAGGAAACTGGGACATTTTCTGAAGTTTATATTTCTTTCTGAAGGACTGAGAACTCACTTCAGAAACAGTGCTGGGCAAGAATGTACTCTTAAGTGTACCAACACATTAAAACAGCACTGTTCATGCCATCATACTGAAATGAACTCCCCACATAAAGTGATGGAACTGGGAAGCCAGCAGTGCATTTTGTCTAATAGCTCTAGGTGTTTGCCTCTAGTTTTTTTCCTTCTGACAGCAAATATTGCATGCATTCCTGTGATAGAATTTTTTATTTTAAATGAAAAAAAGTAAGTATTTCTTATCATCATACTGATGGAGTTTCCAGCAACCATTTTATGAAGAGGAATTTTCTCTTTGTCCTGACATTGACATTCAAGATTAGTTCCATTTTTTTCTTCCTAATTAGCTTTTCCAAGACAATTGTATATTTGAAACAAACAGAATACTTTCCCTCAGGGCACCAGAAACTTAATCTATCCAATTTCCTTTCAATGGACATTGAAAACAAAGTAGTATATTGTAGCTCAGTGGGGAATTAAGAACTATGTGGCATAAAAAATGGAAAAAGCTCTATGTAAATAAATTCAACATAGCAATAAAAACATAGTAATGAAAAATCCTTTAAGCTACCTTGTTAATACCTGACAGAACTGCCTGTTCATATTAAAGTCTGTTTGCCTTTCAAAGGAGGTTAAGACACTAAATTTACACAAAAATGAGGATTTTTATATTCACAACAACACACTGATTACCATCAAATAATTTTGAATATTTTAAACAATCTGATGACTTTCCCACCACTTTATCAGCAGTCTTCTTTGTGACTCAAAAGATTTTTTCTCAAATTTTGATCATTTTACAAAGATATAGTCCCCCACAGAACTCTTTACTTTCCTGATAACTGAAACAAAAACATGAATGATGCTAAGCACACAGTTACAAGATTAAAGTGATAAACTGTAAGGCTGTTCATGACGTTTTAGATGGAAGTTACACTTGCAAGTCTTGTCAATAAAAGTAACTGTTAGAACAGCTTTTGGGCTCTGATCAACAAGTCATTAATAAAATAACTGCTGGTCTTTATTTAAAAATTCTGGAGAAAATAATTGAAAATAATAATCTCTGTGGTGTACTGCACACTACCAGTATAGCCTACCAGAAAAAGAGCTCTATAGAACATTTTTTAAGGACCGCTATCATGCAGACTTTCATAAATAGTACACAGTAATTTCTGCTGTATCCCATTTATAGATATGCTGCATATATATATAGGGGTACACAGGTGTGTGTACTATATATACACACATATATAGATGTGATAGAACTTCCTAAAAGTGAATATGTGTCTCATCCCTGTGTAGATTTCAACTTCATCTGTGCCTCTTAAACAGAGTTCAGAAAGGTACTTACTGATGTGTAGAGGAAACCTTCACCATTTAGGGCAATATACAACCCAGTCTTTACACCCTGGATAGCAACAACTCGAAGTCCCACTGGTATAAGGTTGAATAACGCTGTGAAGAAAAAACATGACCAGATATGAATATACTATGGTTATTAAAATATTCCAATAACATAATTAGTAAAAAGAAAGAAAACTATTCCTTGTATAATTTTCTCTGATTTTAAAATTTAACTAATTCAGAAAATCTTGCTTTTAGTAAAGCTTATCCTTAAAATTAAAGCCTAAGTATTTATCTAGCAATAAGTCTTGCGATAGTTCAGTGTTTGGCAGAGTGTTAACTAGCGAATACAAAGCATAGCAGACTGGACTGCAATCATTTATGCAGCACTGCTGACACGAGTATCTCAGGCAGTCTGAAAAGAATCATAGAGCCCAACAGTTCCTTCATCAATGTAGACTGAGCATAAGGGTAATACTTGCGAGATATGCTGCAGAAAATTTGTATCTCTGATTCTGGCAAGTATCTTTTTATTTTCTTGCGCATTTTTATGGTTTTGGACTAAGATATGCTCTCATTAAAGATTACTTTAAGGGGGTCTGTTACTTCAAATCAAAATTAGTTTGCTTTTGTTAATGATATATTTGATATAAGCAGTAGTACACAGATCTCAGATAACAGCAGAGTCTTATTCTAGGTCAGAAAAGCACTGAAATATGTGTTTGACTCTAAATGTGCATAAATGCTATTGAGCTGAATATAGAACATGCTCAAAGAATGAAATTCTAATAAATTAAAGAAACAGCTAACAGCAGATACCCTAGCAATGGTGTATAACTCTGTAATGACAAAACCCGCCACAGCTTTGATTAGTGTCTAAAAAAGAGCAGTGTGAAGAGTGGGAGTTTACCAGCCTCATCACAAAACAACAGAAGAAAAAATGATGTAAGTAGGAGACACAGACCAATTCTTCTTCTAAAACTTGCCAGCACACACCTAACAAACTAAGTTTACTGACTGATACTAGGAAATCAGATGCAAAGCACACATCAGACAGTCTTTGAAGAAAAGATCTGGATAAGCTAGAGTCCATGTTAAGCATTTTTCCACTGTGGATGAATCAAGGATTCACAAGTCCTTGGATCAGTACCAAAAGCACAACTTGTGTGTTCAACACAGCAGCGAGGACCATGGTTCCACCAAGCCAGGTCTCAGGAACACAGTAACACTTGCAGTGAGTTCCTCCAAATTTAGGAAGGACATCCATAGGTGTGATCAGAAAGTGTACCCTATGAGGCTATCTGTAATCAGAATGCCAGGAGTAGAGCCCAAATCAAGAGAAAAAGGGTCATGTAAATGCAGAGGATAAGTACATTTTCTCAAGGTGTGAAAACTCCTGGTTGGTCAAAGGACACAAAGCCACAGATCTTTTATGATGAAGATGATCAAATCTTTACAACTGAGAAAAAAAGTAGGTTGAGTACTAGAATTTAAAGGTATAAGCGGATGGGAAAAAAAAGCCAACAAACAACTTTTCCTTCAACATTGTTACAAAGAAAAAGAATACATAGTGTAAGTTCATTTTAGGAAAGCATAAAGCCAGTATAAAGCTAGGAATTGTTGGAGCAGAGCATTTCCCACAGCTGTAGAAAGAAAAGTACATTCAAAAGAGCTCTGGAAGAACAAAAAATACTCTATGGGTTTACAAAGAAGAATAGAAAAGATGACATCAGGCAAGAATTAGGCCAAATATACAGCATTTTCATTTATATAGTTTCCAAAAGTCTCTATCAGGCTAGGATCTTACTGGGTTTTTAACTGGAAAAATACTGGGTACAGACAAGGTTCCCTCTCTGATCTGTACAAGATAAACATAACCCAGTGAAATATGGCACTCACAGACAAGACATCCTAAGAGTATATAGGCTAGACACTGCATGACTTGTGGGTTTTCAAATGTTCAATATAATTTGGAAGTTAAAAAACCAATCAGCCATTACCCTCAAATGAAACAATGTCAAAACCAGAAAAAACACTATTGTGGGTGATGAAGGGGGAGTCTGTCACAGCAAAACTGGGTTTCAGATGGCAGTTAAGTTTGGGTTTTTTGAGAAGAAAATAAATTCCAGGAGGAAACCTGGATATAAACACCATGTTAGAGGCAGGGCAGCAACAACTGAGGGGACATCAGGAAGGAAAAAGACTTGTATAAAGAGGTGAACACAAAAGACAAGTCAGCCATGGAAAACTGCTAATGAAAAATAACTCCAAATCATAGTGGTTCAGTCAAAACTTCTGGAACATATATATAATTTGCTGTATTACCAATAAAAATAAAGCAGCAAAGCTAGGAAGAAAAAAACCAAACACAAAACACCAAACACCATTGAAGGAGAATTGAAGGCCTGTAACGTGGCAGTGGTGAAATGCAACCTATAAAATTACTAGAGCAGTCTATAGTTGCTGGTGAATTTAGAAAGCACTGAGGAGGGCACATAATGTATCTTTTACTGCCACTGACTTTTAATTGGAGATTATATATAAGAGTTCCTGTAATTAGTCTAAGACCATAAAATTTTAGAGTGAGGTCTGAAACGCTGTGATTCTGCACATACAGAATATTCAGTAACTTCCACAAAAATCTTTCAGACTTGGGTGAAATGAGGCAGGACAGTCTACATTCAATTATTGATTGATAAACGCTCAGCAATGATGTGCTTCACACTGAGGTCAGCAAAACATGCACCAGTAAGGCACAGCAGGTGTTTTTTACATGCTCTGAAGTTGGCCAAAGGAAATTTGATTTCCTCCAGAATGTGGCTGTGCAGTACTCTTTACTGAGCAGGACTTACGTGCCCAGTTACACATTTCAAACCTTCCTAGGATTCACCTGTGCTATCCCCACTCTAATAAGAACCTGCCTTGAGAAAAGCAGAAATCCTTCCAGTTTGTTTGCATTTCAGGTCTGCACAGCCAAAGCTATGCTCTTGCCTGAGGGGCATATGAAAAAGAACCATGTTGCCAGCTTCCCCCTGTCTTTAAGACAGTGATCCAAAACTAAGTGAGGTCCCTGAGCATCTATAAGTACCTAAACCCAGCCCAGTGAGTCTACAAATGAGTTGAAAGAGGGAGCACCCTGCAACAGCCCAGGAAATATAATTCTGCCTGGTGCTCAGTGCTCCTATGCTGCCCACTTGAGTATAAAGCCTGGCAAATGCAACTGTAAATAAGATGTGGGAACATCAGGGAAATCCTTAGCTCTGCTTTGTATTCCATCTTAACCATGACTGTAAAGCAAATCATTGTTCTTTCTTTTCCTAAATCTGTAAACCTATTCCTAACACACACAAGATAAGAAAATGGGGATGGGGCAGTTAACAGGAACAGCAGTCATAATAAAAATTATTGGTTTAGGTGTCGTGGAGGGGATTTGCAGAAACAAATTTGACTGGGATTCTAATTCTCCAGAAGTTTTAGCTAAAGTTAAAGTCCACTCTTTGATAAGCAGTAACTCTTTCCTTGAGCAAAACACAAACCCACTGCAGTTCTCTTTCCTTTTTTTTTTAATGTAATATCATCACAATATATTAACTTGAAATCTGAAATGCCTGAAATCAGGTATTTCTGTATCCTTGTGAATAGGTACAACTGACTTGTAGCTACAAGAAAATTGTCATTAAAGATCATTGTTTTTCTCCAGAAGCTTGCTAGAGACCAATTGCTTAAAGCTTATAAACTTGCTATCTGTTCTGTATATGCACTGCCCTGGTGTCAGTTAACAAAATTTCCCTCAGCACCAAATCTGCAATCAGATCAAGGCAACTATTTCTTTAATTTATATCCATCTGCAGGCCTACAGGCAAAAATGACAACTCCATCAGAACGTCTCTTTCAGATGGGCAATGAGTGCAGGGAGGTTGATATTCAGAAATCCATCCATTCATTTCTTATGGAGCAAATCCATTCTACCTGCCTGATGAATAAAAGACGTAATTAAAATGTACTTTTTAGCATGTCTGAACATGGTCTCCATTGATCCTGTCACTAAGTTTATACTGATGGCATTGATCCTGTCACTAAGTTTATACTGATGGGAGAAACAGGCTTACCTAACTCCCAAAGGTGATTGAAATAGATGACTAAATGCCTGTGTAATTCTTTGAAGAATAACTGCAGTAAAAAACATTGCAAAAATCAGACTGCAAATATTTCAGTTCAGTAATGTAAATTTAACATTCAATAATCCAAATTTAACAGCATTGCAGGTGTTGTTTTTTAATCTTCATGTGCTTTATTTGTGTCTAATTATCTCCTTTACCTTACAAGGGTGCTGTGAAGATTATATTATTAATATCTTCAAACCAAAGTTTGGTTAGAAAGACATTATAAAGTTAATACTTGCATATTCAGTTTGGAAGATAGAAATAGAACATTAGGAACATGCATTAAAATATGAAAATAAAGGAATGTTAAATGGTTTCAGGACTTCTTGAACAGCAACTCTACCAGGTACCAAGTGCCATGAAGGAAGAAAAGCATGTTGCTGTATAATTAAGCGAGATGTGCACAGCACAGCCAAATCAAAGTTGCTTGGGTAATGTTAACTTTGGCATTTATCAGTTTATGCAATAAGGATATAAATGAGTAATGGTCTTTTAATCTGTTTTAAATATGACAGTAATTTCATAAGGGGCACATATAGCAACGTTAAAGTCTTAAAAGTCAGTTTTATCACCCATCAAAGCATCATACTTTATGATGAATTTTTTCAGTGGTTGTTGGCTGAGATACACTCTTCAGGTGAATCAGATTATAGTGCTAAGAGATTCAGGGTTTCACTCTCAGAAATTAAAGAATCAAAATTGGCTGTTTCACAAATTAATTAGTCGTCCTACTAAAACTACCCTTCATTCATGAAACAAAATTTGAATATAGACCAAAGCCTGAAAATGAGCTGGTTTGGGTGGGGAGGAGGTCAAGAGGGGAATGTAACACTTCTTACCACAGGCACAACATGGAAAGCTCTTCTATTTCTTTATAGTTTCCTAATTAGTAATGGTGAAGTTCATGGACAACACTAAAGCAAGCTCCATTGACACCAAGTAATGCTGAGAACTGCTGTAAAATCCAAGAAAATTAGAGCTAGAGAGGGACAGCTACGCTGAGCAGGACCTTGGTAACCAAGCCTACAGGTTTAGCCACAGCCATTCCTGCTTTCACTAGAAGCAAGCCACAAAACAAACCAGAAATGTAAGGCATTAGAGGAAGGAAAAAGAGAACACCACCTAAAGAAGAAAAGCAGTGTAATAAAGTCTCTTTCCACAGATGACTGAGTTTGGCAAAAACAATATAGACTACACATACAAGAGGATTTAAGCTAACAGCCTTGGTCTGATGATGTGATTTAAGGAAACTCAGCACCATTAACCACTAGGTGCACTAATTCATACTCTGACACAAAGCATCGCTAACTAGGAAAGGGTATAAAAAGAAATTACAATAATGAACTGAAACCCATCAGTCTATTTAGGGTTCTAATAGCATGACCACCAACATGAGCAGATGAAAGTACATTCAGGGATGCAATTACAAGCAGTCACATCTTTCTACCTTTTTCATGCAAGGGTTTGTGCGCAGCAATACAATAAAAATCTCGCCATCTATCTCTGCAGACTCTAGCCTTTGCTCAAACTTAAGGCAAGCTGGGACAATGGCTGGCACTATAGCAGCTGACCAAAACCACTAGTAAAACTCATTTCAACTTCAAATAGAAGCAAAAAGTTACATTAAAGAGGCTACCAAGAAGCTTTAAACAAAAATGGGTGTGAATAGAACCACTCAATTTGTATGGACTACATCTTAATCTACCTCTCTATAACATTGTGACTCTAATAGTGTAATTTATGTTTACCGACATACCTATAAAATGAGCACAAAATGATGATATATGCACTTGATGGAATTTTAAGTTCAAGCACTCCTTTAAAACTGCTTGACACAGAATAAATTGCAACAGCACAAAAAGTAGCTGCATGGCTAAGCTTCAAAGAGTTTCCTTGATGAAGACAAAAAAGAAATCACTTCTCTGTCCCTCACTACTCACTTGCTCTGTCTGCTCTGACACCCAGCTACTCAGACAGTCAGTGCATGAGGTGGAGTCTTTCAGGGCCTTCAGGGACAGTGAACAGTTCAGAAGATGGGTTGAAGGCTGGCAGAGATGCACACCCTTCGGCAGTCTGTATTTCCTCCATTTTTATGAAACACACCTTGAATGGGAGTCATCCTCACTATCAAGAATACAGTCTGTCCTATTGACAGATAATATATGTCTATCCCTTTGTCCACTGGGTGCATTAAAGAGGCAACCTTCAAGCTCCATGGTCAGAAGCAGTAGTTTCCCCCACTGGCAGTTGCCAAAACTTTTTTGCCCGTAAGCCTCAGCCAGAAATTATCATGGTAAGAAGGTCAAAAATAAAAGATCAAAATAATAGGAATTCTATCCATGAGAAAATTATTGTTTTAAAGCAAGACAGAAATGGAAAAACAAAATATGCTGAAATAAAGAAAAGCAATAGGAAACAAAGTTCAACAGTAAATGGAAGGGAACAAGAGTGGAAAGGGAAAAGAATTGAGGAGAAAGACTAACAGCACAAAAGAAACATATTAATATATCCATGAATATACAAAATGAATCAATCTTTTCAGCTATTAATATAATGTTGATTTATTTAGACTAGCCAAATTTATGGTGGAGATTGTATGCTTTCCTGGCAAACATATTAATTTTACATCCTTATGGTCTAACCTGTCTTTACTAAACAATACTGTAAAATTTGACTAGAGAATAGAGAATTACACCAGTTGAAGAGAGAAGAAAATCCCTTTATGGAAAAAATTCCTTTCAGCCTAAAAATCATGCTGAAGCAAAACACAATATTATCTAATAGTATTTATCCAAAATACATAATGCTGCTATCATGTTGAAGTAAAGCACAATATTGTCTAATAGTATTTATCCAAAACACATAATGCTGCTATCTGGTATTTGGTTGACTTCGGACAAGTTCTATATTTCAGAACATTTATAATAAAGAATATTCATTCTGCATTTTGGAACAAGAATAAGAGAGATCTAGATCATACTGTTCTAGAAATCCAGAAAGGCAGAGAAGAGGGGAGAGAAAGGGAAAATGACAGAGCAAGAAAAAAAAAAAAAAAGAAAATATTTGTAAAGCTGACAGCAGCGAAAAGAGTAAAGTAAGGCACTATGGTCTAGTTTTGCAAAGATTCAAAATCCATGGAGTTCTAAGATTTTAAAAAAAGAAAATCTCATTAAAACAGAAATATCATTAAAACATTCCAAAATTGTTGCAGTCATACACAGCTCCTTACTGAAACTGAAAATAGAGATGGGCAGAGGGAGAAGGAGAGGGAGAGAGAGAGAGACATGCTCACACTCTAAGACACATTTCTTCGACCTCATATAGGCAAAGCTTCTATAAAAAGCAGTAATCATCTTGTCTGCACAATGTCTTAATATCTAGTCCAGTACAGAAGTGGACATAAGGGATGGACACACTGAGGGAAGAAAAGAAACAAGGAACAAGGAGGGGGGAAAAACCCACTTGTAAAACAAGCAGAGAAATACATATCAAAATAGATTAATCAATTATTTATCTGAATTCTAAAGAAAAAATAGAATAATAAAAGATGACCATCCTATCTGTTGATTAAATGTGTTAAAAATGACAACTGTGTGTTAACAGATAAAATAGGGACCTAACCAAAGTACAGCAGAAACCTGAAATCCCTTAATTTCTATAGCCTAATTTCAACATTTTAGATGAAAGTAGAGGCTTATTTATATATGCATAATAAGGTAAAACTTTTGTATTAAAAATGCTTAAAATAGACCTCAAGATCACACAGAAATATGTTAAATATCATTAAAATAAACAAAATACAAATGTTCTCTGCTAAACAGAAAATTAAAGATCATCTGTTTCCAGAGTCTGAATAGGTTTGCTTAATTAACATTTGCAATGGAAGTTATCAAATGTATATATGAATGAAAATATGTGGCAGTATCATAGGAAAAGAGCACCAAAGCAGTGACCCACGCAGCCTTTCAAGGCCATGTTTGTTTGGAATATTTTTGAAAAATGCCACTGTCACAGTCCCTACACTGGCAGAAGTTCTCTTAAAATCACTGGAACTCCTGCTGGTATAGGGACTGTAGCATCTTTAGCCCCAGTTCAGCAAGGTACTTCAGCATGTGTTTTGAGCAGAACTTTGACAGTTAGACATACATTTATTTGCTTTGCTGAATCAGGGCCTACATGACCAGATTTTTCAAGGAATTTTTGCTTCAATCTCTCTTTTTTTAGTATTTGTTATTTATTTGAAGATAAGAATTTTTTTTAAATATATAGCTTTAAAAAAAATAATTTAAAATGTAACTTTACTATTTTTATAAAATTATCAGAGGACAACCATTGGCCTAAATATCTCACCCCTGAGGTCCACTGACACGCTTTTCCCTTCAGAGGGAATACATTTAGGCCAATGTCCTGCATGACCCTGCAGGCTTCAAATGGACAGAACCCTCCTCCTTTTGACAAAACACATTCAGAAACCCTCCAAAGGCATTAACACTGTGTCTGCGCACACACACTCGAGCGATGCAATCTGCGTGTGAGATTAAGACATTCCCCTGGGGCAGTCACTTACTAGAATTACTGCTGTCATCCTTGGTTCCATCGAGACTTCCATCGGGGTGCATTTGCAAGTAGTAGCCTTGCCTGCAATATAACCTGGTCACTATACCCTTGAGCTGGGGATCTGAAAGACAAACATATTTTGTCACTAGCCTCAAAACTTTTTCCAAGAGTTATCCCTACTTCTCTCACTGTAGGAGGAAGTTTGGTGAAGCAGCATTGCCGTCTTAAAAGTAAGTACTACAACAGGATGGGTCCTGATGGAGATGGAGAAAAATCTCACCACAGATTATTATTAGGCCAGTTGTGTGTCCTGTTCTCTGCCTCCAACATCCTTCATTATAATTAACATAGGTAAAACAGAAAGAAAAAGAACACTCCAAACACCCATAGTCAGAAGACTTAAACCAGATTAAGCCCTGCAAAAAGGTTTAGACTTCAGCAACAAGTATAGAACCTTAGAGAAACTAAGAAAACATTTAAAAAACCCTACTCGTGTCATACATCTTAGTAACTTACAATTACTTCACATAAATTTTAAGAACACTTGGAGGAAAAGGTCTGTCTCCTTTCCCTCTCTACCAAAAGTGACAAACTTATCTGGCATATTTTTAAATGGTCCCATCTGAAGAGTTCCCAAAATATTTTACCCATCTAGAAGTGGATACAACTCACCTGCCCTCTCCCACCTCCCAGGGAATAACATCCACAGTCAAAGCAAAACATAACTCTCCTTCAACAGAGGAAAAAACCTGAGAAAATCCATAGTAAGCTAAAAGTATATGGGAAATTCAGGTAGCTAAACAGTTAAGCTACCTTGTTTAATACTCTGCATTTATGAAAAATGCCAAGAACTGGGCAGGGGCTGCCAAGCCACATCTTTATGATTCATCTCAAGGGTGGTGCCTTACCAAATCACAAATTAAGATGCTGCAGAACTGGTTCAGTGCTGAGAAAGAGGACATTGCATCTTAAAAAAAATCAACAGCACTACCTCTGTGTGATATTGGTATTAATATTGTTAATCATAAACTATTAGGCCCAACTCCAGGCAGCGAGCACATAAAATTGTGGGGACATTGGCATGAAGAGCATCTATGCTATATCATGCTTACGTCTGCAATAATGAAATAAAATCATAAAGGCTTTGAGGCATGTACATAATAATATGAATAGGTGAACTTCTAAGGAAGACAGAAGTGATTTCCATGCAAACCTGTGGCCAGAATATAAAATCCTCCTTGAATCTGTGTTTAATTGCTCTCACAATCAATCATGCTGGGTTGCTTACAGTATCCTACGGGGAGGTGAAAGTAAACACTAATAAACAAAACTGCTCTGACTGGAATGCTCTGAAGTTTTCTATAGAGGCTCAGTTCTGTGAATGATTACGAAAATGTCAAGTTTTTCTTGAGTATCCAAATTACAAAGTCATATTAAACAATAAACCCACCTATATTTAAAATATGATTAAATTGTAAACATAATAAAAACTGTTACTATAAATATTAACAGTGTAAGACTTCTGAGGCATGGAAATAAATAATAGAAACATTTGGTGATCAACATATAAGCACACTACAACTTTTTTTTCCTTTTAACTGCAAATTTTGCTTTCCATGAATTTTTACATTAGCAAACATTTCTCTGTCTTAATATAAGAATACTCAGCAACAAATATTTTAAAAATTTGTAAACAGAATAAACTGAATTTTATTTGAATGTATTGTCTCAATCAACTTCATCAGGCAACAGAAATATATTTCCATAATTTAAAAATGAAAAGTGAGTTCCTCTTACACAGGCACTATTCCTATCAATGCATGCTTTTGATGTTCACTTCCAAACTGACAAATTTAAACATACTTGCTTTACACATACTAAAATGGCATCTTAAAGGACTAAAGCAAAATATTTTAAAAATACTGTTAAAAATAGAGTTTTAAAAAGTATTTACTGGAAAAATATCAGTATTTTGAAAAACAGTACTTCTAGCTCAAAGTATCACAGGAAGGCAAATACAGTCAACTCACTATTACCAGCTGTTTACATCTACTGCTTCAAGGGAAAAATGTGAAACTTCAAAATGACTTTCAAAGTTGTTCTTTATACACATTCTATTCATTTTTCTAATTTCACAGATAAAATATACTTTCTAACAAGAAATTGCACACTCATTTGTCTATGTTTTCACCAAAAGCATTAAAGTTAACCTTTACCAGCTATCCAAAATTATATCTGAATTAAAATAATTTTATGGATAGCTATGCAATTCAACTAGCAGTTCAGACTATGTGTGATGAGACAGGGTATGAATCCTCCATTTATTTGTTCACTCAAACTCAAACACAGCAAAATAATAACTCTTATAGCACGAGACCAGAGGATCCTCACTGTGTGTATATCTATCTATCTATCTATCTATCTATCTCACTTGTATACAGTTTTAACAGCTTCATTTATCAGAGAACTGAACACCACCGTCACAAAACATGGCTCTTCCACTTGAATGTTTCATTGACAACTGAAATTTATTACTAATAATGTGATTTTCATTGTGCAAAGTAGCCCTCTGTAGACTAATAAATGGGGGGGTAAAAAAAAAAAAAAAAAAAGGTTTTTTATCCCCATGAAACGTAGTAAATGAAACTTTCTTTTTACTTTTTTACTGTGGATTATTAGAAACTTTTCAAACCAGTATCCTAAGAACATCTTTTCTACCTTAAATTCCTACCTGTCCTCAGCAAGATTAAAACTTTTATTCCTGACAAGTAATTTAATCACTCATTTTTTGATAGTTCTTGGTCATAACATTTAGTTAATACATATCACAGCACTTTGGATCTACAAATCAAAGTAAATAACAACTAAATGTTTTAGCAGAACAGTGATCAAAAAACTGGGGGATCTGGACAATGAGACATGGTATTTCTTTAACCTTAGCCAAAAAGCAACCCAGATTTAGTGATGGAGTTCTACGAAATGACTCATTAATTTCAATGCAAGTCATAATAAGAAACAGTCAAAAAGACTACTCCATACAGCCTCAAGGTAAATATCTCCAGGATGAAGCAGACCATCCTGCCAGGCAAAGAATTAATCTCTTTTCCTTGCAGAAAGATAAATGACTCTTTCATGTCCTTTTTGAGACACCTGGGCAGCAAGCAGAGAAAAGAAACCTGCTAGTCCCTGCATTTCTATAGCATTTTGTCTACCCATTGTCACTTAATAATATTACAGGAACAGTCTCAGCATTAGAGGCTTTATAGAAAAGTTTCTCAAATCCTTCTTGATAACACTTTTTTTTTTTTTTTAACCGTCTGCTAGAAGGCAAGAGTGACCAACAATGCCCAGAAACACCAGTAGAAGACTGATTCTGCCTGTGTACAGGTGCACTGGATAAGTTATGTTTCATAATTCCCACCACAGTGATACAGGTAGACAGACCAGCAATTATTCTTACCCTTTACACCCCAGGCACACCTTTTTCTTCCCTCGTGAAAGAGACAGGGAATGGCAAGAGAATACAGCAAAATAATAAAATACAAATGAACAGGATGAGAGTAGATGACCTCACCAAAAAGTTCCCAGCTCTCATGATTTTATTATAGGTATTTTGCTACTAGTTCTCTTGAAGTCCTAGCCACCACAACATGATTGTGTGAAAAATACCATCTGTATTAAATTTTAAACATCTTGACTTCAGTGGAAAAGAAAACATCAAACTTCACCATGGATCAAAATTAAAGGACAGTTCAAAATCTTCTAAATGATCTTATTCTGCAACTTGACTTCTGGTGTTGAACAGCTGAGCATGACAAGTCTGTAATGCCCCACCATGGAAATTATTCTGACTTGTTATTAGGGGTTGACGCTACAAATTCAGACGTTGGACTGAATGGGCAAAGCAACAGCTTCTCAAGTCTTTCTTCCACAGCAACCTACATGACAGCCACCACTTGCAGCCTGCTTTTATTGCTTTTTTCCCTTGTCAGTGGTAACGCAGGATGCATGACTGCAGTTAGCATGCACACTCTGTCAGTAGCTTTTCTAATGTCCTCAACAAAGGCAGAGTTTAATTAAGATGTCTTCTCCCTCCAATAATGGCTACAAAACCAGCTTTGGCATTAATGACAGACTGAGCGCAGCTCTTGCTTTAGAACAATTATGACACTTTATGTTTTCAATTAAGAATATTTTCTGTTCATAAACAGAATGGTTTTAGCATCTCCTTTCCCACCCCCACAGGCTGCCAGGACAGATCTCTTTAGAAATTTTATAGGTTTAAAATAAACAAGGGGACAAAGTTATTAAATACAGGTGTTAAGGATTTTACTTTTGTGTTCAGACATAGATGAATTTACAATGCTAAAAGAACAATAATGGATATGCCCATTCAATCTTAATACCATGAAAAATTAATCCCTTAGCATCCACTGGAGTTTTGATTTTTTTGTTTTTACCATAGGAGGGCTTTTTTTGCTTGTCGTTATTTACTTATTCCCTCTTTTGAGTAGAGGTACTAAATAAAAGCCTGTTTGAGCTGACAAGCAAATGCTTAATGGTGGGTTAGTCTCATATCAACTCACATTCTTATGGAGAATAAACTAAATGATCCAGTCAATTACCAATCTGTCACAAAATGAGCTGCTCAGCAAGTCAAATGAAAGCCAGTATTTAGAGGTACATTCTGCTCAGATAGCATAGCATCAAACTCATGTTAACAATTGGTAGCTCCAGGTACTTCACATTTTACTTGCCCTTTATTCTTTACCTTCCCCTCCTGCAGTTTTTATTTTTGGATATTTCAGTATTAAAAGTACTGCTCATGCTGGTCCAGAACAAATCAGGCATCTTTTTCATTAAGATTTCTCGTGCTCCAATAGTCACCATGACTTGACTGCCATTTCTTGCTCATTGATGTTATGATCAGCATGTTAGGGAACTTCTCCATCATCTATTAAGCTTTATTTTAAATACCAAAAACATTTATTAACTATCTTAGGATTTTTCAAAAATTACCCCCCCCAAAAAAAAGCTGCAACCTCCAGATTTCTTTTGAAGCTGGGAAGCAAAATATCCACCCAAAGCACAGTGTCTCAGCCACTCCAGACCTGCCTCCCA